TTTACTTAAAATATATTTAAATTATATTTAATTTTCTTTAAAATATACTTAATTTTCTTATTTTATACTTAAAATATACTGAAAATTGAATTTTCGTAAAATTTGAATTAAATTGTATTTAATATATACTTAAAATATATTTAATTTACACTTAAATTTTTCCTATTTCAGTATATTTTAAGAATATTTAAAATAAGAATATTTTAAGTATATTATTATGTACTTAAATTATACTTAAATGATACTTAATTTTTGCCTATTTCAGTATATTTTAAGTATAAAATAAAATTTTAAATATATTTTAAGTATAAAATAAAATTTTAAATATATTTTAAGTATAAAATAAAATTTTAAGTTTATTTTAAGTATATTTTGGCAAAAATATTTTTTATAGGGTAATTGAGACGCATCTAAGGTTGCTTGTCTAAACCTCTTCAAAATCCTACGATTAGTTTCGTCAAAATTTTACTATAGATTTATTATAGTTTTGGCAGAGTTTTGGCAGTTTCGGCAGTTTCGGCATTTATAATAAGTTTCAGCAGTTTCGCCTTTCTCCAAAGTTTCACCAGTTTTTTAATATAACTTTAATATAGTTTTGGCAGAATTTTGCTTTTCGGTAAAATGCCATCTTGCCTAAACCCCCAGGTTTCGGCAAGCAATCTTAGACGTATCTAACTGCAGTATTTTCAAGTCTGTAAGTTCAATAGATCAGAAGTTATTGTTGAATATCTAAAAACAGTAAAATGCAAATAACTTTTGATCCATCAATCCTAGAGACATGAAAATAATAGATACAATGTACCTTAACAAAACAAATCAAATGAGTCATATTTCATTATGAAATTTGTATTTGCTAAATTTTTAAAGATGAAAAATGAATTACTTCATAAAGTTAAATCACATTATTTCAATAACCAGTTATCAGAATTTAATTATTTATGATTCAATAAATTCATATTATCAAGATGCATCTAATTGCAGTATTTTTATGTCTTTAAATTTGATGGATCAGATGTTATTCTCAACAGTAAAATGTAAATAATTCACTTTTCATCTTTAAAAATTTAGCAAATACAAATTTCATAACGTTTTCTTTTCTATTAAACCTAGTAAGATGAAATATGACTCATTTGATTTGTCTTGTTAAGGTACATTGTATCTTTTATTTTCATGTCTCTAGGATTGATAGATCAAAAGTTATTTGCATTTTACTGTTTTTAGACATTCAACAATAACTTCTGATCTATTGAACTTACAGACTTGAGAATACTGCGGTTCAATTAGATGAATCCAATGAATCATAAATCATTAAATTCTGATCACTGGATGTTGAAATAATGTGATTTAATGGTCATTTTTTAGAAGTACTCAGATACTTTTGGCAGGTGGGTGTATACTATTTAATGCATAGTTTAGTGCCATTATTTTGAAAGATATTCTAATATTAAACTACAAAACTTAATTATAATATTAATAATTTACATTCTATTGCGTTTCTTTAATTATATCAGAAAAGTAATTGCTAATTTGATTACAAATAGATAATAATATCTTAAAAGGATTTAATTTCTGTAGATTAAAAGTTGAAAGTACTATCAATTTTTACCAGTATTATAAAAGACTTTAGCGAATTAAAAAGAATTATAGATAGTAATGCAAGATAAAAAAAAGTAATAAGATACTTGACTATAATAGAATATTAGACAAGGTTTAATATTTAATAGGCTGAACATCATGAAGTTCTCAGAGTTGTAAACAATTATTTATATAGGAAGCAAAATGTAGGTTATACCTTCCAGATTTTCTTCAGCCATCTACTTGTTTTTAAACAGTATAGTAGATATATTTTTATCACTTTACCGATTATTTTGTTGATTATATAATATATCATGTCACATTAATTTTTGAAGTTATGATTAAAATCATAAAATACTTGTTTTTAGCGGTATAATTTATGAAAAACATATTACAAAAGTTTTATAGCAAAAAAATTATATTGTTAAAGTAAGACCCTAGATATCACATATATAACTCGGCAAGTGATTGACATTGTGATATAATGCATGTCCGCCCTGTTATAGGAGCATAGCGGACATGCTTTATATCACTTTGCCAATCATTTGCCGATCACATTTTTCTGATTATTAAAAACAATTAAAAATTTTAAAAAAGTATTTAGCAAAGTAAATTTCTAATAAAATAAATCAAAAGTGTAGCACCTTAATTGTTACATAACTTAATTACATAATTCTTTAATTTTTGTATACTATATTATTAATATGTGATAATTTGAAATTTTGGCTGATCACTGGACAAAAATTGATGGCCAGAGCCGAATATGCAAGGCCGAAACTTAAAACTTTGCATAAACATTCCTTTTATCATATATAATTTACAAAAAAAATAATACATTGTTTTGGCTTATAATACAGTTTTTTTGCTTATAGAGAATTTAGCTAATTATTTGTTATTAATGGACTTTTAATAAAAGAACAAAATCTTTTTGTTTAGATCTTGAAAATACAAGGATAAATTATTTATTTTATTTTATTTTGCCATGTATTAAGTAAAATTTTTTCCTGTTATCTGTTGATAAATAACGGACGGCACTTGTATTATGTGATAAGATCACACAAATGATCGACAAATGAGCAACAAAATTGTGATGATAAAATAGGGATGTCCGCTATGCTTGTTATAGGGGGGTAAATGTATTACTATCAGATGGCACATCATTTACATATAACATCATTTACATATAACCATTGGAGAAAGCTTGTAATAAGGTCCTTGACTACAATGGGATACCAGACAAAAGTTTAGTGTTCAACAGGTTGGACATCATGGGTCACTCAGAGTCGTAGACGATTGTTGATGTTACAATGTCGTTGGTTGTAGATTTGGCTTACTAGTGCGAGTTTTTTATCTATTTTTACAATAAACGGTTATTAGCGGAATGGCAAGCTTTGCTTTGAATGAGTATAATTGGTAGCAGCTAGATTCGCATCCCGTGACATTTGTGTCATTTGACGTTTCATGGAGGACGCAGGTTCGATCCGTCCAGCTAACGGATGCTCTATGAATTATACTGCGTGGGCCTATACTATAGGACTAGAATTCTAGAAAGCTTAGATCGATTTCGGTCACAACCGTGTTACCAACCAATGGTAGACTACTTCGGTAGTTCGACACCTAGGAGCTACCATCTTCTCGGTACGCTTCCCCCTATTTTTACTTTAGCTTTATTCGTTCACTGCTATGGCGACTATGTCTCCATTAGTCAGTTCGTTCTAACGAAGTGTGGGTCCGCCTGTTGGATTTTGTACGTCTAGTTTAGCTGTGTACTTATATTGTGTCTTGTAATCATGACGAGTCTGTAACTAAACGATGTATTCACCTCTTCTAAGTAAAAATAAAAAAAAAAAACTCGTTGCGTTTTCAATAACTGAATCAAAAAATAGAGTACAGTATGTTTACATTTTTTAAAATTATAATTGTTAAGTCTAATGAATAAAATTATATGTAGCTATTTTTTTAATATATAGGTTTCGTACCGTAACTTTGTAGCTGGCGGTGAATGTATGCGAAAACATTATTATGAGGCTTGATAAGAAAATAGGATCATATGAAAATTGTTTTTAGAACGTAAAATCATATCTTTTAATGTCCGATGATTTATTTACAATATGTACGTAAGTCTATAAATAAGTTTTTGAATATTTATTAATTATGTATTACAATAAAGAATTCTTAATTATAATAATTAATTCTAATCCAGCCGGGATTCAGATGAAGGAAGACAAACGACCTGTGGAATCAAAGACTTGTGGATTTGCTGATTACAATACCTCCAAAGTTTCTACTTTACAAGAAACCTCTGCTTCAAAATCTACTCTATATCGCTCTCAATCATTACGGCTTAATCGAAAAAAAAACACCAGTAGTAACAACATCATCAACTTTGGGATCATATTTGTAAAGAAATAAAATGTGATAATGAATGCTTTCTCATTAGAATTATTTCCCTCGTTGTAAAGTAAACTTAAGTTACAAACACTATTTGAAAAAGCCGAATAACATCCGACGGAGGATTTAATAGCACGATTATTAGAAGGCTATGTAATACTACTTTTTGTTCACAATTCATTTTCTTGGAGGTAAAGTGACTTTGATACTTTTTATCAAAATCAACTATCATCATCAATCTTTGTTTTAGAGCTTTTCGGTTATTGCTTTTGATGTTATTTCTGTAGTTTTTCTCGAATGCCCAGGAGTAATAGAACTTGTTTGTATTCTTTCCTTAGTTGTTAATATTGGCCCATTTTCAAATTACCCGCGAAGTTGTAGTTCCCGATGGAGACGAATTATTAAGGATTATAAGTAATGTATCTTCTAAAACTATACGAAAATTTTCATTTGGATACAATTGGAATTTCACAACAGAAGGCACCAACTCCAACAGAAATTTATGATATCACACCACAATTTCTGTTGCCATCCGATAATTATGAACATTTCGCTCCTCAATGCTTCAATCCTATTGAGGAAACATCTTATCCCAAAAACAATATTGATTTACCTTCCGAGAGCACCAACGTTTGAATACTTACTCGTTACTCTGTCATTTTTGATTAATGATATGGTAAACCTTTTAATCAATGAAAAGAATCCTGTGTACAAAAAAAAAAATAAAAAAAAATATACTAGAAGAAATTTATAAATTAATTTTTGATAGATGTAATAATGTAAAACAATTCTCTTTTCGTACTACTAGAGAAATATGTTATTACCCGAATGCCCTCAAACCTTTCAATCAGTTTTGAGAACATTGAGAATAATATACCTTTAAATATATTATTCGAACTAACCAAGATTTGCCAATGTATCGAAGAATTGGATATAGGCTATATTCGTGAATTTTGAGTGGACGTTTTGTTAGCGGGACATTTATAAGATGGTATGATGGAAAGTCGACGGTTAAAGACAGGAGAGAGAGATAAATGGCAGATGTATATAGGGACGACGAATCGAAATACCTTAAAGCCCTTACGGCTGAATATCCTCAAATCGCGTTTTCAAAAGTGATAAAAAGCACGTCCATGGAAAGTTCAGACTTATTTAAGTCGCAAAAGGATCTTGAAGAAACGCTAGTTTCATTAACGAGAAAAGGGGAATCAACAAAATGGTCTTTTCGATCGTTTAAAGAAGTAAAAGAACAGTTGGAAAAAGAAGAATTCGTCTAAGAAAAGAAAGGAAGCGGTATTTGAACGGCAAGAAAGAAATTTATCTTTGGGATCGGCAAGATACAAGACCATTTCGAATGGGTGCTAGACGGTTTAGTGGACAAGGAGAACGAATTAAGAAAAGAAGTGACGCATCCGTCGGTTGAACCTGAGGAAGTTGAAAAAGTTGTTTATACAATTTGGAAAATTCTTGCAATGGATTCCAATTCCTACTAAATATTACCTTATATTGTTTTTCATACGAGCAACCAATAATACTACTTCTCAACAAAAGAATTCCTTAACAGAAGATGACGTGGTTGATTATATAAATGAATGTAGAGCTACAATATTCAAGGATGAGGATTTTAGTGAATAAGATGATCGTTATTGTTAACAAATCAATTAAAGGAATGTGAAGTGGATAAAAAAGTAATTCCGGCTTTCCAACCTTATAATTTAACAAAGGAAGCGATTGAAGAATTTGACGCTAACAATAGGAAGATGGCGAATCGTCTAACAAAAGATGACAAGACGGAAGAGAGTAAGTTTGGATAAAATGGATACAAAATTTAAGAAGGTATCTATAGAGAATGAATAGTATTATCATTTTAATCAAGGGTAAATGTATTTTGGGATAGTTTTTTTTTTAGAATAATTTTCGTGTATGTGGGTTTTTTGCTGCTACAAAAAAATGTACATTGGCATACCAAGATTTTAAATTTTACACAGCAAAATGACCCGTTACAAATTTTTATTTTTATTTTTGGAGATTATAGAGTTCAACAGTGTAAAGGGTTTTACTGTTAGTTTACCAAGGATCGACTAAAGGAGAGGGTCGATTAACTTTGTTTAGTGTTGGGGAAGAATAGAATTTTGATGTGGAGAATGCGGTTACGTGATTTTTTAATCTGTATAAGTTCTTCATATTATCAAAATAAAGTCGTAACGTTTTACCATTAAAAAAGAAAAAAAGGCTATATTCGTGAAGAAAATCCATATATAGCTTCAGCAGTCCTTGTAAAGTTTATATTTTGATGAAAATAATGGTGGTAATTATAATTATGATTATGATGATGTTGATGATAATGATAACGATTGGTGGTGATGGCGATGACTATACCACTATTAAGTGGCGTGGTAGCAAAGAAGGCCGCCAAGTTAAAAAAATTTATGTTGGTACAGAATCAATGTGCCACATTTATTAATCCTAGATTTCTTACAAGTTCAGTGAAACTACAATCATTGGACCTAAATATTGGAAAAGCTGTTTGGATAAAGTTTCTTTTCTGGATCTTCAATACTTTGTACTAACTACATTTTTGTCAAGTCTGGTGTCCATTTTTTTGTGTTCTGTTTAATTGGCATTCTTTTTTTTACGTAGTACGGTAGTGGTATGGTTTGTGACTTTATATTTCTATATTTTGGATCTTTTTTGATTTTTTACCTTGAATTAATCTTTTACTACCGTTATTATTACTTTTTCTTCTTTGTATAGATGTTACATCGCACTTTTATTCATTTGTTATTCCAATTCTCCATCTCTTATAATATTTTCTTGTTTTAATAAAGATTCTTCTTGAATATTTGTATTTCTAGCTTTTTGATATGCTAATAAAAACCTTTTTAACCCATTTCGAAAGTTTGAATATCAAATGACGAAAAAAATCAAAAAATTTTAACTTGATTCCAAGGTCGTGAATCATTTACACACACCCCTGTTTTTATTACAAAAATTTTAGTTAAGTTACCGGTTATGTATAATAGTTATTTGATAGGGGGGTTAGAATTCATCGAACTGCTTCGCAGTTCGATGATATTTTAACACCCCTATCAAATAACTGTGTGCCGTCAATGATACAACATTAAAAATATCAATAATAATTATGCAATGGTAGTTTATTTATAGCTTAATAAAAAATGAAAAAAGCATGATCCTATTTGGCTGTAGAATAATTACTCATATTAATTTATCTGATTATGTGTTAACCGATTTCAAAATTTTAACGATATTTAGATTGAATTATTATTTTATTTTAATACATTGGAAAACATAATAATAAAAAATAAAATATTTTAATAATAAAAAATTAAAAATAAAATAAAAAGATTATTTTATATATAAATAAAAAAATAATAATTATTATAAAGACCCCCACTCTTAACTAACAGCAACATTTAATAATGTAAATCTTCAGGGTCGCCAAGACGAATATTATTTGGTTCCAAAATTTCTAAATAAGGTTCAGAATTATTATAAACTTTAATATCTATTAAACCAGTCGGTGCTGATCTATTTAATATTTCTAATAATTCTTTCGCATTTTCTAAACCTCGCTCATAATTTTCATTACAATCGTCATCAATAATTAAAACTAACTTTTTCAAATTTTGACAACTTTTTAGTAATGTTTCAAACTCAACAAAATGTAATTTTGTTGAGGGAAAAATGAGCGATAATGCCTTAATTAGCGGGCATTTTTTTATTATGCTACTTATTAGTAGCAGAGTATTTTTGGCGGAGTTTTCATCATCATAATAACCTTTATAATTTGATAATATCTCCCTGATATTACCACCGCTATTAGTGACTATATTAATCGCCACATTAATAGCAATATCGTCTATATGGAGTATTTCAAGGTTATTATAATATATCGGCAATACTCTTCCACTTTCTAAGTAGTATTTGTTTAGTGTTAATGTTTTTAATTTCAAAAATCTTGGAAGAATGTCAAATATTTTATGGTCATGACATTCTTCATAATTAAAAAATTGAAAATATAATATTAAGTGGAAGATCGTTTCCGATCTTCGTTGCAATGCGACCAACATCTCGTCATAAAGGTCGTATTTAATATCATATTCATCTTCAAAATCGTCTTTCCATTCAAAATATCTTAAATTTTTTTGAACATTAATAAGTTCAATTATCCCCTTATTAATTTCATTATTTTCATTGATAATGATCAATCTCTGTATATTTTGAATGACGAGTGCTATATTACGAAAGAATGAAGGACAAGTAGATGTGCCACAAGTTAATTCATAAAGTGATGCAAGAAAAGTTTTATTTTTTGGAAGTTGGAATAGGGATAAATTGGAATCGATTGAGATCATATTTAAATAATTCAACTTTGTGCATTTCTCTATTAAGAGATCGCGAATTTTTTCTTGTAGTAAAGTAGACTTAATCATAAAAGTTATATCTTTTATAATTTCTATATTAATGCTCTTGCAAAATGACATATAATTAAACGAACGTGAAGGTAATAAGTGACTTGGTAATAATGGTTCAATATCTTTAGGTAAATAGGAACAGATAACGTTGAGTAAAGAATTTTTATTTCTATAATCAATTTTGTACTGCCAGGGGTTTCTCCATAAAATAGAAATTGCCATTTCACACCAAAGTCTATTTACTAATAAACACGAAAATAAAGCCATTGGATCATATTGAAGTTCTTCAAGTATATATAAAAGAATATCACTATTGTAATTAACCATTTTGATTTATCGGAAAATTGATAAAAAGATTTTATAACGAGAAGATTTTATAACGAGAAGATTTATAACGAGGAGATTTTATAAAACGAGGAGATTTTATAACGAGGAGATTTTATAACGAGAAGATTTTATAACGAGGAGATTTTATAACGAGGAGATTTTATAATGGGGAGATTTTATAATGAGAAGATTTTATAATAATGAGAAGATTTTATAATGACAAAATTTTTTAACGACAAAACGAGGGCAAAATCCATCTTTATATATATAAAAAAATCTGCAATTTTTGCTAGTATAATGATACTTATTATTTAGTTTAAGTCTTTTGCACCAAGATCTCACATATTCAATCCATAATTTGTTTCAAAAAATGGGATTGATTTCATAATTTGTTTCGAAAAATAGATTTTCTTTGACACGACATTAAATTTATTACATAACATAAACCAAATTTTTATTTTGTTAACCATATATAATAAACAAATTTTAATATTTTTGGTGATTAAAATAAGAATAAGGGCTTATACTAAATTTCATAATTTTTCAATTATGCGAGATAAAATCTACGTTCGGAATTATTTACCGATAGAAAAAATATAATAATGCGTTCGTGTAATTAAATTTCACATTGTTCAATTATTATTAGAACATTCTTTGTAAGATGTAAGGTCATCCATATTAGGGTATATTAGGGCATATTGGGGAATTTTGCCATGTGTACAAGTTTGAAGAAGTCTTCGGCCGTGACTAGATATTGATAGTGGTATCATGCAATTTTATTGGTTCGAAAATCAAATTATAAAAAAAGACATTTCATTTATCCCAATTTATACATAGTAATTGTTTTGAAATTACGTACCATCATTAACGTGTATTACGTCTAAAATAAGAAATAATAAAATCGTCGTCATAAAGTATATGAAGTTTCAGTTTTAATTTAATAAATAAAGTGTATCGTGAAAATTTACGATGTTCTGGATAGTATATAATTATTTGTATAAATTTCAACTACTACTAAAGATTGAACATATACGGTATATTGGTATTGGTATATCGGAAATATTCAAACTATTTTTATTTTTTGAATGATAATAAAATAAATAATCTATGGAAAGTGCTTTTGTTAGTAGCAGCCTTGCTATAAGGGTGGTGGCCCTGTAAATATACAACAAAACAACTTATTTTATTAAGAGACTGCTCAAATTAGTATATTTATTGTACAACAAGAAGGGGTCATTGAGCATTTATTTGTATAACACTAAAAGTCATTGTTTAAAAAATCCTTGATGCAAGATATGATCCAAAGCATTAAAATGAAACATATAAAAAAGGGAATTGAGTCAAAAAAAAGAATAGAATATTTTTTTTTGTTTAATTATTTTAAAAAATTTCGAAACCTTCAACAAATATTTGTTTGATAAATTTCAAATAATGATTATATAAGTATGTTTCAATTTTTTGAAACTTCATGTCTGAAATAAGAAACAATGAAAATCGGATAGAACGGATATTAGATTGCTCAACCAATAAAAATTTAATAAAATTGGAATAATTACGTTCGGTAACAATATTGTTTTATTTTTTGTACGCGTTGATTAATTTTATTTCAAACTGAAAAAAAACGGAAAAAGAGGCCCAAATCAATTATGCAAAACCCTTGTTCCAATAAATCATTTATCTGCTAATTATGACTTCAACTAACCCTATAAAAAAAATTCTGGAAAAAACTCCGATAAATGAACATTTTTCTAGAAGAAACCAGACATGGGATCATTTTTCTAAAAAATTTTTATAGGGTAAATTTAAAAAATATTATTATGTTTATTATGTTTTTAATAAATCATTATAAATGAAAAAAATCGAAGTCTTAAACCAATAAACTTAACATTTATTATACCACTTTATAATTTTTATAGCCATACCAAATTTTCATTTTATCCATACACGGTTATTTATCTATCATCTATCATTAACAATGGCAAACTTTGTTGCATATGTTATCAAATTGCATCATGATGATTTATGTTCATATATCTTTATAGTACTTCTTAACAATCATGATGGCCAATTTGGAAGTTTCCATTTAAGCATAGCCCAAAACAATAGTATCGTAAATATTTTAATGAATTATTTTGAAAAAGTCATAATGTCCCTTTCACAATAAAAATTGTTTGAATTTTAATAAGTTTTTTTGTTCTTAAAATTTAAATAAAAAATTCAATAAAAGAAAAAAAAATTTTAATTTATTAATAAGTTACAACTTTAAAAAAGATAAAGCAGTAATTATGCAAACCAAAAAAAAAACGGTTACTCGGCTTGTATTAATGATTTGCCGAATGCATGTGCAAAATCTTAGCGAGAATTTACGTAAAAGATAATAAACGCATTTATTGTAATAGGTGAATAAGTAAAATAACTAAGTTATTTTTCAATATAAAAAAAAATATTTTAAACAATGCTAATAAAATTTTGAAACATATTATTTTATTTTACATCGTATGGTTACTACTATAATTAGCAAATTAAAAAAAAAAAAAAAATTCGCTCCTTTTTTTTCTTTTTTCTTTTTACAAAAAAAACAATCAAATGGTTGAACCATTTAATTTAATGTTATTGAATTCAATTTAAATTTAAAATTCTTTATCCTTGAACGAATATCGCGCACATGATTGCTCATTAGTTGATTCTTCAATAAAGAAAAATGTGAATTTACATCACTAATTAATGATGATCACAGCTCGACATGTAAAGTATCTCATTTAACGATTTGAAACGATTAGTGAATTTTTTTGTTAGTCAAAAATAGCATCAATTACATGAAAAAGCCTTATTATCCTAAATAATTTGTTTACATAATTATCTGTGTTAATTTTCGTATCATACTATCAATAATTTAAATATAGTAAAGATTGTCAAATGGTGTTATTCTGGTTGGTTACAAATTAAATTTAAATTTGATCAGCTGAAACTCTTATTTGTCAAAGTTACGGGGTCCCAATTATTTCAGATCATTTGATCATACCATTTTTTCTCAATTTGATCATTTTCTAAGCACTAAATAAAAAATATTACCTTAATTATCTGAATGAATTATTAGACTTTGGTATTCATAAGATGCACAACTTGGGAAAAATATTTTTTTCGATTGAATTTTTAGTAACGATCAAAAAATCTTGTTTTTTCGTCAATTGTTTATATGTTACATTTTGAAATCATAGAATGTATCAAATTTAACATTAAATTAAAAATAATGAATGAGAAATATAAAAATATCGCAATTTAGCAGTTAAGGGGAAAAAAAAATCATAAACACTCAATTTATTATTTTAACATTTTTTTTTTACATTTTTTTTTTAATACTATCAATACTTTCTCACTCTTACTATTATAATCAAATGCCAAGAAATAGGCAAAGGGTAACGGTAGCGTGCAACTTGTGCCGGAAAATAAAAGCAAAATGTTCCGGCAAACCAGTCTGTACACAATGCCAAAAACATGACAAGGAATGCATTTTTGATAATCAAAAAAAAAAGCGAGGTCCGCCAAAAGGACTGAAAAAGTTGAAAAGGCAAAAAGAAGCTTTACCATTGATTTTAATTCGAAAAATGGAATAAACATATTATTGATGAATAGCAATTATATATTTAGCATATAATCTAAATATTTTAATGTTATAAATACATGTGGCAAAATTTGAGCTTGAATTTTGTTTTTAATCTTCTGAATATATAAAACAAATCATATAGTAAATTTGGTAGTAGTAGTGATGATAATGTTAAAATTACAATTAGGACAAGGATAAACAAATATAAATAATGGAGGTAAAATAATTACACAAATAAAAATAACTTGGACATCAAAATTTTATTATTTGAATGGTTTCAATTAGAATTTTTTGGTAGGGCCAAGACGATGTAAACGACTGATGAAAATAAATTACTATCATATAATGAGCACGAAGTTATAATATTTTTCATATAAATTTTTTAGCTTAAAAAAATTTGTAAAAACTTTATTCTGTGAATAAATACATTCTTTTCATCAAAATCATTCACTATTAATATCGTGTGATAAAGAATTAATAAATTAAAGTCAAATGATATGTTGAGTACCGATCACCCAAAAATCCTGACAATAATATCAACGGGACAGTCTATAATCCCGACACCAAAATCCCGATAAATGCAAATCCCGATTGAACCAAAATCCTGACAGTCACAGAATGATCTAAAATCTTGACAGCCAAAATCCTGGCTGAGATTCGATCAGATGAATTTTGAGTTTAGTTAATTTTTTTAATATAATTGTTTCTAATTTTAGAAGATAAGGAATAATTTAGTAGTCTAGTAATATACTGTACATAATCCTTTTATCTAAGATAAAAAATTTTTTCTTTTAATGAATATAGTAACGTTAGTTAATTTGCATTAATATTAATAAAATTTATAAAATTTGCAAAACAATTTACATTGGTATTAATAAAATTTACAATAAATTAACCTGTTACTGCGTCATTGCATTTTTAAAATATATTTTAAAAAAAACTTTTGGATTTTGATTGTCAAGATTTTTAACTGTCGGAATTTATGACTATCGAGATTTTATTTCAACGGGATTTGGGTTTGTCGGGATCTTGGTGTTGAGATTGTAGACTGTCGATTTTGTGGTTGTTGGTAAACCCATTGAGCAGATCGTTCAGAATTTATAGAAATTATTAAACAATTTAGAACGACAAATGAAGAAGTTTGTTAATGGGGGTCTTCACAAAAAACGTGATTGAGATTGAGATTGAGATTGAGATTGAGATTGAGATTTAATATAGAATTTTCAATCTTACTAACATATTAAGATTGAAATTCTATATTAAATCTCAATCTCAATCTCAATCAAGTTTTTTGTGAAGACCCCCAATGTAAGATTGCTTCAATTTTGCAATGGGAAAGAATTTTTTTTTTCTTATACAAATTAAACATAAGACTGTATGATAGCCATTACTATTAATCCAATTTGTGCTGAAGAATTAGAATTTAAAATGATATATGAACATATTTGGATATCTTTAAAAAATCAACCTTATAAAATAAAGTTCCTTAGGTCTACCACTCAAGTTAATTTTTGTTTAAATCGTACTTTTCCGATAAATCTGAGCACGTGTTTAAAGCCCAATCAGGATTTAAGATCAGGCTTAATAACAATATCGTTCAAAATACAAGCAAAATATAAGCATAAATAGTAGAAATATGAAATAAAAGATAAAAGGAAAGAAAAGAAAAAAATATAAAGAAATAAAAGAATAAAATGTATAAAATTTAAAAATAATAATAAAGACAAAAAAAATTTGACAAAAGAAAATAGTGGCGTGGGTACATTATTGAGTTTCTGATTGGTAGAAGATTCATCCAACATCCAAACAAATTTGTACGACAGATCGGATGATGGATGAGGTGAATGATAATAATTTAAGTAATATTTTATTATATAACAGATATATGATAAAAAATAATTATATTATTTGTATAATTGAGATAATATTTGATAATATATAATAGAAATTCACAAATCAAAGTTTTTTGAAATTGAAAGATGTTCAACTAAATTCCTCATATCAAATTAACTTTTTGAACATGAGATGAAAAATTTTCTACATACTAGAGTTGAGCGAATAAAACCAGTCAATATTGAAACCTTGTTATATAAAATCAGTAAAGATAATTATCTTTATTCTATCAGTTGAATTTAAATTATTTAATCTAAATGTCTATAAAGAAATTATAACAGAAATTGACATCTAAAATAATGTACTATTAATCTATTAATTTAGATCATACAATTCAGAGAATGTAATTCTAAAAATGAAATTTAAATAATTTATTATATTTTATATATGACGTTTGTCAGGATCTTGGGAATCATGAAGAGTTTATGGATAGATTATGGAAAAATACTATCAATAAAAATGACCTCAAATTACGAGCAAAAGCTATCAAACTACTAGTTGATATTAGAAGGGTTCTGTGAAAATAGCAACAGGAGAAGCACATCCTTCTCTTTCTAATCAAAACCAGTCTTTCAATAAATCTAAAGTAGGAAATACGAATAATTTATTCAAATTAATTTATAAAAATAAACAATATATTACATACTTACACTATTTGCATTTTACAGAAGTAATATAATAATTGTTTTTGTGTATAACCGTAATAGTGTTACTTTATTACCTGTTAGTATTACATTTTTTGTATACCATTGCGAAGTAGTTATAAAATAATAATGTTTATTATAAAGAAACATATAAGTTATAGTACCAAAGTAGGAAAAAGAAAAAAATAATAAGATGTAACAGATAGCAGTAATTAAGATATTTAGAATCTGTATATTTTTATGCTTGTGTTAAGATTTCTACTACAGTGCATACAACTTAGTCCCAGCAATTAAATTTGATGAAATTTAAATCACTACTATTCATTCAAACATAAAGTATAAACGTACAATGATAAACCAGATTAAGCTTAATAAAACTATATTTTTAAATTTCCTGTAAAGTATTTTTTAATAAAGTAGTAGCAAATCAAAGTTGAAATATTTTACTATTAAATTAAATATTTGGCCATTTTATTCTGACCAGAATTACATGTAAATCTGGCCAAAATTACTTTCATTTAATTATTTACTATGTAAATCTGGCTAAAATTATATATGTATAATTCTGGCTAGAGGTTAAGTATTATATAATATAAAAAATTTGGCCACTTAAAAATTTTTTTGTTGGAACCAGGTTGTATGCACTATATTATCACATGATTGACAAGCATTTTACCAGGTAATAGACATGCACTAATGAAACTAAGCTATAATTTTCAATTTATTATTTAGTGATATATGTACATTTGATAAGAACTTCAGATTACAATAACATTACTTTTTTTTAAAAAAAAAAAAATGTTAAATCATGTACCATTTTATTAGAATATATTTGGACTACATAATAATTACAACTATTCTATAAATAATACTTCCAGCTTCTAGCCAGTCAGGATCCTGCTTACTTATAAGATAGGTTACTCCCAGGCAGTGTTGTCACGGGACAATGTCCAGGACATGTTACACAAAAAAGAAATGATAACCCCTCAAAATTTTTCTATGATAACCTTGTTCGATACTTAGCAAAAATGTTTAGCATCCAATTATGCATAAATATATATAATTTTTGTAGAGTTTTTAAGTTACAGAAGAGTACGAACAGAGTGCGGTAGAGCTTTTCACCAGATTATCCTATGAATAATTTAGGATAACCCATTGGGAAATTTGAAGATCCGGATATCCTGTCAAATTAGAATAACGGGTAATCCGAGTAATCATCCTAGGATAATCCGAATTATCCTAGGATATAATCGGAACGTAATTACGTAAGTATGTAACACCATTTTTTTTTATTTTTTTTTCGTTGTCAGATTGTCAGAAGCCTTCAAACTGGAAATGTGTCACTCACGTTAGCAGACGAAATCAAAAATATAAAACAGATGCTCTTATCGAATTTTTACAGAGAGAAGAGGACTTGGAGCTTGATGACTTGAAAGTTATTCTCGAAGAAAAAGTTAATGGGCGTGACTTTCTCAAGTTAACCGAAGAAAAACTTGAGCGACATGGAATGAAACTGGGACCTACATCGAGGCTTGCAGACTTCATTAATGAGTGTAAGGAGAAAGAAGCGCTCATTTTCCTCGTATAAGACTCAGAAAGACTTAAAAGAGGTATTAGCAAAGTATGGGATTGATGGTAATGGGATAGGTGCAATCCGTCAATTTCCACCAAGTGAGTCCTATCTTCTCAGTTTATTATTTACAAACTATTACGTGAGTTGATGGGCTAATTTTAATGTTCCACTTTCTAGAAACATATACACTTTAAGACGATGATGAGGAATTGAAACAATGTATAAGGGAAATAAAACGCAGGTTGGGAAATATGGGGACTATTCTTGCCGATAGCAATGAAGCCATGCGGTGCAAATATATTTCGGTCATTCTTCAGCTTGATACATGTATCTTTCATCATGAGTTTGCCGTTTTCTTACTAATTCCTATAATTAAATTGAGTTGGAAAAATAAATTGATAATATACCAAACCAATTGAATTTCATTTTTACACTTACAACTTCGTACAAATTGAGTAAGATATCTTGAAATATTTCCCATGAAGTATCAGGTCTTCGCTATATATTGTCAAGAAAATAACAAAAAAAGAGATTACTTTGGCTCCCCAGTTAGAAATTGTTGGTGAAGAAAATACTGGTCGAGTCGATTATACAATCAAGGCCCTTGAGGAACTTATTTGCATCACGGAAGGGATATTATATCAAGTGGTCATTAGCTTTACTCAGAATCGCGGGTGATGCATTCGGAGATGACTTCGATTATATCTATGGAATCATTACAACAGCTACAGATTGGTATTTCATCCTTTACGCTTCGGACAGAATATATTGTACAAGTAAAAATTCTCTTAATATCCGATTTACCAAGTCTGCTTTGAAAGAGAATTCGGAGGATGAAAAAGAATTGTGTAAAAATGTGAAGTGAGTGATAGAAGTTATTGTTGGGTTATTGAAGGATAGAGTAGATGTTGAGAAGGAGCCGGCGATGAAGAAACAACGAGTTCAAGAGTATTTTGAAAACAAATAATCATGCATATTAGATAGAAATTTCATGTATAGGGTTGCGTTCTGAACTTGTAATTTATTTTCGAGGTGCTTTATTAATAATTTATCATTGTAATAAAATAATAAAAAATTTATTTTTCATTTATAGAACGATCACAATAATTCTTTATTTAGTAAAATAATTCGGCAAAAGCAAACATGTAAGGAGTGGTGGAGCAAATATAAATTCTAATTAATTAATACGAGTACATATAGTGAAATAAACTCTAGTAAAATTGTCACATATTATTATTATTATTATTATTAAACATTTCACCTACTCCAACTAAATTGCCGTTTCTTTTCAAAAAAATTAAAGCTTCAAATAAATCCGCCTTCATACTTGTCCTTTTTGAGGACATTATCAATCCAGCATCGCTAAAGACCCTTTCGCTTGCCCC